TGGGCCGTCTTGGAGCCTTCTTGGGGCCGTCTTGTGGGCCCCTTGGGCCGTTCTGGGGCCATCTTGGAGGCCTCTTGGGCGATCTTTGGGCGATCTTTGGGGGCTCTTGGGCCGTCTCGTCCAGGGCCGTCGGAAGGCCAAACAGAAGCAACTGCCAAAATTCTTCAACAACCCAGGGAAATGATTTTGGCGTCTTCGGGCCTTCCTGGGGACCCTCTTATAGGCCTCTTGGGCCGTCTTGGAGGCCTCTGGGGGGCCTCTTGGGGCGTCTTGGGCCATCTTGAGGCCATCTTGGGCCATCTTGGTGGCCTGTTGGGCGGTCTTGGAGTCATCTCGGACCCTCATGGGCCGTCTTGGAGGCCATCTTGGACCATCTTGAGCGAACGTGGAGGCCAACTATCTTGGCCATGTTGGAAGCCAGTTGGGGCCATCTTGGAGCCATTTGTGCCGAGACAATTTTTCCAATCAGGTGTTTCGGGTGGCCGGCGGGACGCGCCGAAGCAGCATGGGAGAGTTCTTGTGGAAAAAGAACCAACTCCAAACAAGTAGGGCTTAGCACGCCAGGCACCCCTGTGGCAAGACCACAGGGGGCGGCGGATCGAAGACGCCTGCTGTGAATCACCGCCGCTCCCTGCCTTTTTGGAAGCGCCTATGTGGCCGAACGTTGAGGCCAGATCTGCCAAGCTATCGGACCATGTGTTCCCCAAATCGGTTTGGAAAGCCTTCGGGGAACACGTGGGCATCTTGAAGGTCCTCTTGACCGTCTGGAGGCCATTTTGACCCTTTCGGGCCTTCTTGGAGGACGTCTCGGAGGGCTCTTGGGCCGTCTTCGAGGCCATCTTGAGCGTCTTTGAGGCCTCTTGGGCCGTCTTGGGGGCCTCTTGGGGCCGTCTTGGGCCTCTTGGGCGGTCTTTGGGGGCTCTTGGGCCGTCTCGGGCCGTCGGAAGGCCGAAATATGCAAATGCCACAATCCTTCAAAAACTCATGGGAAATCAATGATTTTGGCCTTTGCGGGCCTTCCTGGAGGCCCTCTTGGAGGCCTCTTGGGCCGCCTTGGGCCATCCTAGGGCCATCTTCGGGCGGTGCGCCGTCTCGGGCACAGGTGTGCCGCGTGCCTTCGCGTCCCGGCGGAGTTTTTTATACCTTTGTCCGTCGGGGGCGGAAAAGAGGGGGGTGATGACTAGGGGGGGGTGGATATCATGGCGGGGGCCATGATGTTTCCTTAGATTTTATGGCGCCTCTTCTTATTTCATTGCGGCCCAGGCCCCCCCGCTGGGCCGCGCACATGCCGCTGGTCATGATTTGCACCCCCCCTCTTGGACACCCCCCTCTTGGCCGCTCCCGAGTCCGTGGGAGAAGTGGAGGCGGCAAAGAGGCGGGATGCGGATGCCAGTGAGGATCTCGGAGCGGCGGGGTACTACGAAGAGAAGGCCTCGCTGCCTGCTGTGCGGGTCCAGGGCCCGAGGGTCCCCCGTGTGCTGCGGCCTGAGGAGGCCAGTGCGGTCCCGCCTAGGATTAAGTCGGGCCTGTCCTACAGGGGGATTTTCGACGAAAAATGACAAATACCCCCAAAATAATAAAAAAATAGTCCAAATATAGTCTGGGGACTATTTTTTGGGTAATTTTTGGCCATTTTGGAGTATTTTTGGGGTATTTTCATTCGTCGAAAATCCCCCTGTAGGGGGACACGCCCGACATAAGCCTAGGATCGGGGCTGGCGAGGAGCAGGCTGGGGAGGGCGTCGACCCCCTCGAGGTAAGCTTTGCTGATGCAAGGACGGATGGGGATGAGGTCGGGCACGAGACCCCAGGCATGGGCGTTGGACATGCCGGGGACCCTCTGCCCTCCCACCCCCTCCCCTCCCCCTCCGCCGCCCCTGCCCCCGCCTTCCCCTGTGCCACCGCGGGATAGGCTTCCCTGTTTCTTCTTCCTCCATCTCTTCTCTGGGTGGAGGAAGGCCGGGGATGTGCAGCACTGGATGGAGGTGCTTAATGAGGCGTCGCCTAGGTGCAAGCCGATTTGGATTCTCTCAGTGGACGTAGCTCATGATGTGACGGGTGCGGACATAATGCAGGAAGGGGTTGTAAAGAAGTGCTTGGGTGGGGCTGTTGGCGGGGCCCCCCAGTGGCACGTGGACTGCTGGGTGTTTCAGGGAGGGGGGGGTCCCAGGGCCGCGTCCGCTCCGTTATCGGGAGGCCCCCTGGGGTGTCGAGGGCCATGCGGCCCAGGAGGTGAGGAGAGTGTACCAGGGCAGTGTGGTGCTAAGAGTGTCGGTTGGATTCGTGGCCATGGCAGTGGTCGCGAACGTGTGTGCGGTGATGGTGCATCCCACATGTCCCGCGGCGGGGCCCAGGGCAGCTTCGGCCTTCAGGTTTGGGGGGGTCGCCTGGGTACGGACGCTCAGAGGGGTGAGGGTGCATGATATTGACCAGTGCATGTTCGGATGTTAGCACAAGATGCCCTCCTCGCTCCTGTCTGTCAATATGGTGTCAATAGATCGTTTGTTGGGAAGTGTGTCTGATAGGGGGAAGTGCGGGCACCCACACGGGCACATCGCGGCCGTTGGAGGGGCGACAGGCGCCGATCCTCGGGTTTAAAGGCACACCCCTCGGAGTTTGCGCGGTTTCTTGCCCTCGCTTTCCTAGAGGCCCTCACAGATAGGGTTTCAGACGGGAGGCCAGGAGTGTGCCCTCCGTCGGAAGGTTCGGCGAGTTATGCTCCCTTCGCCCCCTTGCTAGAGCCGGCGCAGCAACAGGACTGCGCGCTGGAAGGCGGGTCGGGGTGAAGGAGCATGTAATTCACGTGGTGGACGCTTCGGGACTTTCCCTTTCAGCGGTGCAGCAGCAGGAGGAGGAGGAGGAGGAGAAGTAGGAGGAGGATGAGGAGGAGGAAGGGGAAAAGAGGAGGATGTGCAGGAGGAGGGCTACGCGGATCTTTCGTTTTGAGGGCGTTTGGGCGAGCTCTGAGCTCTTGGGTCTATCTTGGTATGCCGTCCTAGGGATCATTCGAGGGGTGTTGGGGCCCTTCTTGGGGCGCTGTTGGACCCCATGGCTCAGGCGGGGTGTTTGTGGGCTAATTCCATCCTCGAGACAAGCTTGTTGCACTTTTAGGTGGCCTTTTGTCGGTATCTAGTGAGCCTCTTGGGCCGTCTCGGGGCCCTCGTGGGCTTCCTTTCTATAGGGGCAGTGTGAAGGCTTCAGATGCCCATCGGAGGCGAACAGGTGAAACGGCAAACCACATTCCATTTCCTCAGCTTTTGGGGCGGCTTTGGCCTCAGGAGCTCCTCGGAGGTATGCCAGAGTCTATCATGGACCAGGTGCGGCTATCTCGAGCTATTTGGGGCACCGGGGGTCATCATGGAGCCATTTTGGGCCAAACCAGACTGTCTGACACATCGCCCCCCCCGTCCCCCGTCAAGACCCAGGGAGGTAGTATGGTGAGGGATGGCCCCCTCCTCGAGTGGGGGAAGAAGGGGTTTTGGAAGAGAGGCGAAACGCCTCGTTATTCCACCTACGCGCAGAGCGCTGGTGAGATTTTCTGCGCTGATGGGCAGGTATTTTCAGCCTGGCCGCCGAGTGCCGCTTTGAGATCTTGGGGGCTGCCAGCAAGAGTTCCGGGAGGCTCCACGTACCTGCCTAGCCAATTGTCAGTGTACGCACAACACATTTGATTGGGAGGGGGGCGTGTTCGGAGAATTTGCGAACAAGCCAGGCTGCCGTCTAGATGACGGCTTCAAACTCGGTGACCGCCGGGAGCAGCGACGTAGGGTAAACCTTAGCTGCTGACTCGAGCTGACCACCTTTGTATCTGATGAGCCAGCCATGGCCTGGAGCTGAGGCAACGACGGTGAAACCACGTCGGTGGACATGACTGACCATCCCAATTCTTGAAATCGCCCTGCTGTCGATCTGCTGAAAGGGCAGGAGACCTGGGTCAGGACCTGGACGTGATAGGACTGCAACTGTGGCAGAATGCCACGCACGTGCTTAGGATCTGCTGGGCGATCTTCTTTCGCTTGGCTCGTGATGCGAACGGCACGCGCGTGAGCGAAGAGAGCCTACATCGAAGCATGTGGCTGTTCGGCGGAGCAAAAGATGCCACGAGCATGCTCAGTGGTGGTGCCAGTACTCACTTGGCTGTGCCCGGCTGGGGTAGATTGTAGAGGGCCCGGCTGGGGTAGATTGTAGAGGGCTAGTCGAGATACCTCGCACATGGGGCTCCCGATGCACAGTAGGAGGTTAGGGACATTGATCATCTTTATTTTGAACTCTTTGGGACCAGGGCATTTCTGTGTACGCCTGTAGTCGGTCAAATCCGTGATCATCTCTCGCTTCGTGGGGGCTTGGTTGAGAGTCAATTTCAGGGACCTCTATGGGTTGAGTTGTGTCGGAGTCACCGCCATCGTCAACTGCGATGTTTTGGAGCGGCTGTCGCTTGCTCTTCTCGAGCGACCGCTTGAGTACGCCTCCGCCGCTGCTGCCGCTGGCGACTGGCGCTGTGTGTCCCTTAGCTCCTCCTTTGGCCGAGGGCTCCTTCGTCCGCTCCCCCGCTCCCCTTCTTGCCCGTCGCGGGGGTCGCGGGGGGTGGCATGGCTGTTGCTGGCGCTGTCACTGCCGCTGGCTTCGTTTTGGCGGCACCCAGCGCTGACGCTCCAGTGGTCGCTGGCCAATCCAGTGGCCCAACTGTCGCTGGCGGTGCCTGCCCTGCTGCTCGAGCGACTGGGGCAGCAGCGGCAGGCATGGCGCCTCCGGTGATCCGGGCCATCTGCCGCTGAAGCTTCCGGTGGCTAAATGCGGCAAGCTGCTTGGTCAAGTCGGTGTTGGTGGCCTGCGCGGCCGCGAGGCACGCGGCTACATCTTGCCGCTTGGGGCTCTGCTGGCGCCACCCAGGCTGGGACAGGTGGCTGCTGGTCAGCCTCGGCCGCTGCCGTCGCGCGACCTGGGCGAAAGGCATCCTGCGGACGCTTCTCCTTCAGCATGAAGGCGTCGCAGTCGTCGTCTTCATGTTGGCCTTCGTGCTCTTCCAGGTCCTCGAAGTGTGCTCGGAGATCCTCGGCCTCTTGCACGTCTTCGACGCTGGGCCCAGGTGTGAGCGGCTGCGCGTTGTTGATAAGCCTGAAATGCTCTGTCTGCTGCTTTCTGGGCGTCACTGGGTCGAGTGTGAATGCGATCGTCGTATGGTGCCTGCTGCTGTGTACGGGTTTTGACATGCCTCGCGGACTGGAGCACGTATAGCGTGACGGAGGTAGTCAGGCTTAAGTTCTTCGCTGCGCGTCGTCGTCGTCTTCGTCGTTGTTCTTGTTGTCGTCGTGCTCGTCGTCCTCGCCGTCGTCGTCGTCCTCGCCGTCGTCGTCGTCGTTGTCGTCGTTGTCGTCGTCGTGGTCGTGGTCGTGGTCGTGGTCGTGGTCGTGGTCGTGGTCGTGGTCGTGATCATGGTCGTCGTCGTCGTCGTCGTCGTCGCTCGTGTCGTCGGCACCTGTCAGCGCTCAGGAGTGCGGGGGTACCCCTCCGAGGAGGAAGAGGTGGAAGAGGAGGAGGAGGCGGAGGAGGAGGAGGAGGAGGAGGAGGAGGAGGAGGAGGAGGAGGAGGAGGAGGAGGAGGAGGCGCTGTGGGGTCGGTGTGTACCGCCGCCCCGCGCCGCCCTGCGCGCGCCCGCGCGCGGCGAGAGAGCGGCAGGGACCCATGTGGTGGTTGCTCGCCTTCTGCGGCGTCGTCGAGTCCTTGCGCTTCAGGCAGCTGGGCCTCCTCCTCTCTCTGCCCGTCTCTCACGGGGAGGAGGACTAGGAAGGAGGAGGAGGAGGAGGACCACTTTCGCGTCGAGATCCTCGGGGCATCCATGATCTTCGCGTATTGACGAAAATCCCGAGGGCAGGTTTTTGGCCAGGACCATGGAACCGTCAAACAGCAACTCAGGATGAGCCAGTCCCTGGGAAGTGCTCCAGACCTGGGGAGCCGCACCTTGAAAATGATTGCGATGTCGGATGTCTGGATGGTCGGGTCGTACCCCTCCCTGGCGATTCTCCTCGAGGCTCCAGGAGATTCTTAGCGAGGCTCGGGTGAGGCCGTCTCTTGGGTATGCTGCCCCATCGAGGCCGATCCCTTGCCGCTTGGAACCCTCTTGGCGCGCGTGCGGGCTCTCTCTCTCTCTCTCGTTCATAGTTCCAGCGTCGTGCCTGCTGTTACCGCAAGGATGCTGCGCAGCTCGCGCACTGCGAAGCGCTCCATTGAAGGAGGAGCGCCTGGTTGTCCTCCCCTTCAGGCGAGAGCCCCGTTTGGATCTGGGGCTGCCCTGCGTCCTTGGAGCCAGAAGGAATGCGAAGAGGTAAGATCATCAAGTGTTCAAGAAGTGTCTAGCGAGAGCAGTGGTTTGATAGTCGGCGGCGAGCGAGGGATGAAATGAGAAGGAAAGGCCTTCTCAGAAGGCGGTGGGACTTCTCAGATGCCCTCGCGCCTTCGGAGCAGTTTTCTGTGTTTTCTGGCAAGGCTTAGAAAACTTCTCAGAAGACCGTGGGACTTCAGAGTCTTTGAGAAGGCCCGCCCCTTCTGCTTCCCCCCCCCTCGTTCGCCGCTGAGATCAGGATCCACCCTCGATCGGTGGAACTGTTGCGCTACAGGCTCGGAGAGTTTTTCTCCTCACGCCGGCCACCGGGCCACCGCCGCCAGAAGATGTGGGTGTGCGCCACGTAGCTTGCACTACGCAGCTTCTGCCGTATATCTTGCGCCACACAGGTTGGACCGTGCAGCCTGCGACGAAGTGGGTCTGCACCACTCAGCTTCCACCACACACTCTGCACCACACAGCTTGCATCACGCAGCTTGCGGTGACGTGGGTTTGCACCACAGCCTGCACCACACAACCCATGCAGGTCTTCGGTCCTGGGCCCTCTCCCCTCGGCGGGAGTAGAGATCGTCCACTCGTCCTCCCCCTCCTCGTCCTCCCCCTCCTCGCCTTCCCCACTCGTGCTCCCGCGCAATGGCATCTCCGGCTCGGCTGGTACGCACACGGAGAAAAAGGAGGATGAGGAGGAGAATTTAGGTGAGTAAGCGTGCGAGTACGATGACGACGACAGCGGCGCCGACGATGAAGACGGCGGAGGCCTCAGCAATGGCCGCCGCGGGGGGATAATCACCTCCCCAGTATTGTTTTCGGTTCTAATCAGTCAATGAACCCGCGCATAAAAAGGGGTTTCCATTTTCCAACGGAAGTTTATTAAAGATCAATCGCGGTTAGTTTCCACCACATAGCTTGCGACGATGTGGGTTTGCACGACACTCAGGGAAATCGTGAGCACGATTCAGGCTAAAACGCACCATAACCAACCCAAACAAAGCAAATTGTGAGGACGGCTCAAGCGAAACCGCACCGAAACCAAGCCAAACCAGGCAAAGTGTGAGGGCGTATCAGGCGACACCGGCCCCAAAGGGCCACACCAAGCAAACTCTGAGGATGTTTCAGGCGGGGCGCCTGGCCAAACCAAGCCAGACCAAACCAGGGGCCAAACCAGGCACATTCTGAGGACTTCTCAGGCGAAACGCCCCAAACCAGGTGTCGCTAATACAACTTGATGGAAGGAGTGGATGACCCATGCCCCCCCCCACCCGCAGGGGGCCTTGTTTTAGAATTTTATGGGGGCGGGGAGGGATCTTTCCAAAAGTGAGCGATTTTGATTGTATTTGCTATTGGATTTAATGATTTTTTTGGGCTCGTGCACGGCCCCACACTTTCGCGGTCTTCCCTCGACTTCTCCCAAAGCGATCGATGTATCTGGCTGGGCCGCAACACGATGTATGTGGCTGGGGCGCCAGAGCCTGCATTTGTCTTCCGATTGTTCTCGGGGCAACGGTTTTGCGTCAGGAGATATATTCCCGAGGCTGTAGTGTACGCTTATAGTCATACGTCATACATTGTGACGAAACCCATACGCGAGAGTTTAATTTTGAGCGAGCCACCCCTCCGTCCGTGTAGCTCTCGCTCCGTCTTAAGCGAGAGCCCCATCTTGAAAAGTAGCCGCCTTCATCTGTGCGGCGCTCAGGCGAGAGCCATATGTTGAAACCCGCACGCCCTCCAAGACAAATGGTTGTGGCGTTGAGGCTAGCAACGTACTTTGAAGATCACGCGTCCTCCATCCTGGTAGCTGTTGGGGACTGTTAAGACGACTGCCCGCTGCGCGCAGGAGTTCAAACCTATTCGCCTGTCATCTTTGTAGCTGCTGGAGGTTTAGACGATCGTGTGCGGCGCCAATGGGATAACCGCATTCTGAAAACGATTCGCTCTAGGTAGCTGTGAGATTTCTAGACTCTTCGCGCGTCCCCACCAGCTCATCAGTAACGATGCCCAGGCGAGGTGAGGTGATCAGGGAAGTGTAGGAACAAAGAGGGGTGCGGCCGTTACCGTTCGAAGCAGGTGGGGGATGGATGAGGGAGGAAGGCGGAAGAGAAGGAAGAGGAATAGGTGGACGAGGAGGAGGAGGGCGAGCAGAAGGGTCAGAGGCCCCTTCAATACCTCTCGGAGTCTCTTGGGATATTTCTTGGGCGCTTCTTGGAGGCCTCTTGGGCGTCTTGGGGGCATCTCGGCTGTCCCGGGGGACTCTTGGGGCGTCTTGGGTGCCTCTGGGGGGCCGCCTGGGGCCTGTTGTGGGCCGCTTGGGAGCCTCTTGGGGCTTGTTGGAAGCCTCTTGGGGGCCTTTGGGGCCATATGAGGATTTCGATCAAAGAGGGGGGTGTCCTGTCCCCCCTCTGGAGCAGCACAAGTCGTCCTGAAGCCCTCCTGGGGCGCTTTTGGGGCGCTCGGGCGCTCTTGGGGCCGTCTTGGGGCCCTCTTGGGCCGTATTGGAGACATCTTGAGGCTCCCAACGCCCATCCGAAGCGAAAACGCAATGAGGCAACACACATGGAGTTCCAGTATGTTTTAAAATGATGTTGGCCTCTTGGGGGCGTCCTGGGGAGGCTCCATGGCCACTCGGACCCGTTTTGGAGCGATCTTGGAGCCTCTTCGAGCATTTTGTAAGCCAACTTTATCTTCGGAGATCATGACCCGTCTCGGAAGTCATATTGGCCTGTCCGAGCCTCTCTTGGAGCCATCTTGGGCGCTCTGACCCCTGCTCGCCCCCCCCGTCCAGACCCAGCGGGGAGGGGTAGGGGGAGGAGTCAAATCACCTCTCCCAGACGCAAACTGTTTAGCTCTCTTTCACCCGCCCTTCCAACACATACGTAGTACCTGAGTCTCAGCATATTCGTCTGTCGTCTTTTGACGGACAGCTACTGGGAATCAATCCAGCCCTCATGTGCGCGACGCTGGGGCGGTTTGCGCCACGTCGGCCAGCACCCTCCTCATCGAGAACCACTGCACCATCGCGGAGGGGTGACCATCATGATGTCGGGTGGGCCTGCGCACAGCAGGTAACATGCCAGCACCCCCGCCGTTCTTGTCAAAAACCAAGGCAACGTGGTCGCGGGGTGCCCGTGCATGATCCAGATTTAGCCTCGAAGTGTAGTTCATATTTCTTTTGAAAGGGATGGTGTCCCTGCGCGCAGCAGGCCATGTATCCCCCCGCCGTGCCTGTCAAAACAATGCAAAGTGCTCGCGGGGCCCCCGACCATGACCCAATATTTTGCCGCTGCGTGCGCTTCGCATTGCTTTTTGTCAGGGGTAGCGGGGGGGAGTGTTGGCATTGTCCATGGTTTGTCGTTGGTCCGATGGGGGAGGTGTACATTGCCAAGGAGCAGAGGTACCCCCCCACGAAGGGGAAGAGAGAAGATGGAAGTGTAATCGAGAACTCGCTAGACCACCTGCGTCCAGCGGGGTGGTCTGAGACCGACTTGGGTCCTTCTGGAAGCCATCTTTGGCCATCGCGGGCGTCTTGGAAGCTGGCTTTGTGGATTTTCGGGGCCTCAGGCGGTGGCGAACGTGCTCTAATATCTGGCACTTCATGCGCCCCTGGATGCATCACAGGGGGCGGCGGATCGAAGACGCCTCCGGCGGGTTACCGCCGTCCCTGCCGTTTGGTGGAGACGCCCGTGAGGTGAAGTGTCGGCCGAAGATCGAGCCATGCTGATGGACTGCGTGTTATTTTAGTCGTTGGGGAAGCCACTAGGGGAATACAGTTGGGGCGCGCATCAAGAAACCATCTGCTTTTCGTCAGGGAGCCCTGGGTTTCTTCGCTCCTCGCGCTGCGCGGTGACTTCCCGCGGCCGTTGAAGAAGCTGCTGCGTTCAGGGTGCCCTGGTTTTTTCCCTCTGGTGCACCTCGCGCGCGGGCTTTTAGGGTTGGGTTTCTTGCGAGGGTTTCTTGCGGCCGCGCCCGCTCTGAGCCTACTGGGGAAGGGCCGTCGGCTCTGCTTCTGGCTTGGGCACAGCTGGCATCCTCGTGCGCGAGGCGGGTTCGCGCGGCCATGGCCCTCGCCATCCTGCCCGGGGGCGTGCGTGAAGCGGGGGCCCGCAGAGCGCAGAGAGGACTTGGTCGGACTCTGGAAAGAGAAGGCTTGTGCCCGGGCTGACGAGCCCCACCAGGGATGCGCTTCCGTCCTCCGCCTTTTCCTGCTCCCTCCCTGTTCCTTTCCCTGCCCCCCCCGTTCCCCTGCTCCCTCCTCCTGCCTGGTCTCTGTCTCCTTCGCCCCTCCCCTCCCTCCGCTTCAGTCAGCTGGGTCTCGGCTTCGAGAAGCTCACCCTGGAGAATGCGGGCGACCTGAATTTTGGAAAGGCCTCCGCCGCATCCCGGCGGCGTTAGGCAGAGGAAGATGGGGTGATGAGGATGAAGGGAGGGAGGGATGGAGGGAGGGAGGGAGGGAGGGAGGGAGGGGGAGGGAGTGATGTAGGGAGGGAGGGAGGGGGAGGGGGAGGAGGAGGAGGGAGGAGGAGGGAGGGAGGGAGGGAGGGAGGGAGGAGGAGGAGGAGGAGGAGGAGGAGGAGGAGGAGGAGGAGGAGGAGGAGGAGGAGGACCTCGTGTTTGGACCTCGTTTGGTTGGGGCCCGCTGGGATAGCGGAGTGACCGCCCCGTGACGAGTACCACCGCCCCTTCGGGCCTACGGGCCAGCGTCATGGCAGGGCGTCGGGCCGAGGCGCATTGTCCGTCCCGGGGGGACCGAGTCACGGGCCAATGGGCGAGGCGCCTCCCCCTGTAGGATGGGTAAGGAGGAGAGCAGGGGCGGGAAGGGGTAGTGAGAGGGAGAGAGGGAAAAGAAGAAGAAGAAGAAGAGGACGAAGGAAAGTAGAAGAAGGACAAGAGCCCTCCCCCCCCGAAAACCATCGCACCCCCCATCGCCACTTTCAGCCAGCAGAGGGCGCAGAGAAGGGAGGGGGCGGACAGGACGACGACAGGGATAGGAAGGGTGGCGCGGCAGACCGTCTGCGTCGAGGGCGCGCCTGGCCCCTACCCCCCACCCCCCGCTACATGCTGCAGCGGTTGCCGGAGGGTCGGGCTGGCAACCCAACGCCCGCCGCGGGGGCGCCTTTCCCATGCACGACTCGGCCCGCGGAGACCCAGGCCCATCCCCCGAGAGAGGTAAAGGGAGGGCGAGCCAGAGGGGAGGGAGAGGGCAGGAGAGAAGAGAGGGGCGGCCGGGGACCCCCTCCAAGCGCTGCCGTCCTGCCCTGCCAAGCGCTGCTGTCCTGCTCTTTTTCCTTCCAGCCGAGCCCGAGTGGCACCCCGGCCCCACTGTGCCAGCACGCCGAACCTGGCCCACGCCTGGTTCCTCCCAGCGCTGGCCCAGCCACCGGGCGCGCCGCGCGCCCCCGCACTCAGCCCGGCCCAAGCCCAGGCTCCCCAGCGGTAGGCGAGGAGGAGGAGGAGGAGGAGGAGGAGGAGGAGGAGGAGGAGGAGGAGGAGGAGGAGGAGGAGGAGGAGGAGGAGGAGAAGGGGGTAGCCTCTCGCTACACGCGCCGCCGTTGCTGGCTGCACGGCATGCGCACTAAGATCCTCGGGGCATGGTCAGGCCATTCCCCTCCCGAGCGGTTCTCCGCGTGGCCTGGGTGACGCTGTGGAGCTCGCCGCCGAGCAAAGGAGGAGGCGAAGGAGGAGGAGGAGGAAGAGGAGGAGGAGGAGGAGGAGGAGAAGGAGAAGGAGGAGGAAGAAGAGGAGAAGGAGGAGGAGAATGAGGATGAGGATGAGGATGAGGATGAGGATGAGGATGCTGCTGATGATGCTGATGATGATGATGCTGATGATGATGATGATGATGATGGTGGTGGTGGTGATGATGATGATGATGCTGATGCTGATGCTGATGCTGATGCTGATGATGATGATGATGATGACAATGATGCTGATCATGATGATGATGCTGCTGATGCTGATGATGATGATGCTTATGATGATGATGATGGTGATGACGATGATGATGCTGATGATGATGATGCTGCTGCTGATGATGATGACGATTATGATGATGGTGATGATGATGATGATAATGATGACGATGATTATGATGATGATGATGATGATGATGATGATGATGTTGATGATGATGATGATGATACTGATGATGATGATGATGATGATGATGA